GGGCTTGGGACAGGGCAGTGGGGTGGTGAGAGGTGGGTAGGTGGAAAGATGGCTCTGAGTAAGCGTGTCCCTGATGGTCTAGCGGTTAGGATTCCTGGTTTTCACCCAGGCGGCCCGGGTTCAACTCCCGGTCAGGGAGCAGCGTTTTGGTCTACTTAGGAGATGATTCCAAGCAATGATCTCCACCTTTTGTCTGTCTGAAATTATGACTATCACATCGCTGTGCTTACTTATGCTCATACTTGCTGCTTTAATCCTTATTTCCTCGATATATTTTTCACTACTCAACTTTTATATCTGTTTAAAGCAATTATGCTTGGTCAAATTAAATTATAAAAGCTTAAAATTTGTCACATCTGACATCCAATAGAATTCTCAGTTGATGTTTTAAATTACACAATATTCTTCTTTATCATTTCATTAAGGAAATTCATTTTCAAACGTGTCAAAGATTTGCGTTAAAGTAACAATTTGAATAAGGGAAGATACTCAGTTCGGAAAAGAATTTTCCTGAATCATTCAACCCAGTCTCTGCCTCATAATGCTATACAGTGAAGTAGAGCTATTCAAGCCGATTATTTGAATTTAAATCGAAGTTATCTCGTAGTTTGGAGTCGGTATCTATTGATACTTCACTTCATGCTATAAGCGCAGACCCTGATGAAGATATGAAAATTCCTCGTCTTTCTGTATACACAGATTGACCTCTTCGTACCTTTTTTCCTCATCATCGATATTTCCTAGCTCTACTCTCCCATTATTTTGTGTCTAGAAATAAGTCAAAAATGATTTGAATGTGCCAAATACCCCATTCACCACCGTCATCATGTAGAATTCAAAGGCACCATTTCAATTCTATAAAATTCTTCTTTTTTCCATTTCATATGAGGACTTCAACTTTGTGGAAATCGAATAAGCGTTAAACGAACAAATGGCAAAGCTTGAAGCCACATAGTCCTTTACGAATTGCGACATGCTCAGGTGTTAGTTATTAGAATATATCGCCTTTAACTGTTTCCTGACTGAGCTTAATTTCGAATTGTGGAAATCAATTGGAATCGAATGAGCGCTAACCAACCAATGATAAATTAGAAAATAAAAATTTGTCTGGTGTGTTCGAACTTCTCCTTGTCAATCCAAGTGTCTATTGCGCTATGCCATGAAATCGGAAAGTGCTTCCTTTTATTAAAATCCCTTCCATCGTGCAATTTTGTAGACTTAATGCGTTATCCATTCCAACAACACTT